CGGCCCCCCCTTTTGTTTCCACCAGGCTGCACAACACAGACAGTCAGTTTCCCCGCAGCTGCTTCCTGGGGCAGCGCAGCTGCAGCTGAAAAGCTGAGAATCTGCAGCTGCGCCAAACAGAGCCTAATTCTTCGGTAAAAGAGGTCGAAGCTTCTCCAACCCCGAGAGACTAGTATACGCATTGAATCAGCGCTCGAGTGCGGGCGCTAAATGCTCCCCGAAGCGAGGCGGTTTGCTCCAGTGGGGCCAGAATACCTGCTATGCTTCGCGGGAGCAGAAACTGGGTGGGTCACGTTCTCGTGTGTTAGCGGAAGGCAGATCGTGAATTCTCGTGATTCAGGGAGATGCTTCGCGAGTCTGTCACACTTGTCCTCATTTGGGAAGAATTTTTCTGGATTTCTCTTACCTTCCCATCCGCTTCCTTTGTGTAGAAGTTTCCTTTGTCCAACAGGAGTCTATAAATTGTTGTCCTCTGTGTGTGGGGAGTCAGTTCTAAGTGAGTTGTCTTCTGATCTCCTGTGATGAGTCTCTTCCCACTTGTTAAGCTTGTATCCGACGACAAGTGGTGGTTAGGCTGTATCCTGATCCGAGGTGGTGTTGTAAACTTCCAATCTCCTTCGCTTCTTCTCCCCGACACATTTTACTACCTCTCCCTAGCTGCCAACTACCCCTCTATTTCTCCACCACCTACCGCCACGCCTACTTCCTCCTCGACCTCGCTATCCCACCTACCTACAACCAACTAAACACAATCCCTACGCACCCTGCCGTCACTGCCTTCGGATCTCTTTCTACAGTCCCTAAATAGAGATTCATCTATTATTGTATTTTCCTTTTGTTTGAGGCTTGTTGCAATACTATTTTTATATTAATAAAAAATTTTTTGTTCCGCCACATTCCTAACTAGTTCCGGTGTCAATAGCACTTGGAATATCCTCGTAAAACCTATGGTTATTTTCTTAGTTAGGGATGACATTTTCTGGCTGCATCATTGGTGTATCAGCAATTAATCAATTTGGTGTTGAGGTGCGGGGAAGGATATCTTCTATATTATTCATCTCTGAACGTTCAAATTCTATTCCTACTAATTGACAAGTTCCATACTTTTTACTTAGTCATTTTATTTGCAAATGTATGTTAATTGATGTCTGTTCACAATGAAAACTTGCTATAACTGTATTTTTTTCTTTTTTCTTGTATGTTTTTATTTCTGTTAATGTCCTTTCTCTCCATGTTAACTCTTTAATTCGCTTGTGAGTTGCAGGTCAAAGGGTTATTGGTGAACCTGTAGTTTCTGGTTTGACCCTTGATGAATCCGGGCTTTGGGACTCCGATTTCACAACTGCTGCAAAGCAAGATTCTTCTTTTTTTTTTTCCTTCGCTTTTTTCTGAAAAGTAGTCATGAAATTGATGCTCATTTCTTTCCTTCAAATAGATTTGTTATGAGTCCTCCAATAAGGAAAGCGGGACATGACAAAGCCCTCCAGAATGCACTAGCAACAGGAATTTTGCAGGTAGCAATAATTCTTTCATAAGCCTGAAAACTTTATATATCTGTTAGTTTATCAAAGAATCGAAAAAATAAAGTGAGATTTAGCGTATTCTGCACTTTAATTTTACTCCATAAAGTTAAATTCTGCAGTTTTGTTACTTGCACATCAAAAGTTTTCATTTTTAACATCCAATTCACAATTCCTGATGTAATGTGCTCTAGCAGTCATATTGCAGTTTTTTTATGCTTCTAAATTTGAGACAGTTGAGAAGCTTCCAAAAATCTTTTATTTTGCAGCTTGTTGGCACGGATCATTGCACATTCAACTCAACACAGAAGTCTTTTGGATATGGGGACTTCAGAAAAATTCCAAATGGTGTTAATGGTATTTGGCAACGTCTATGAATCCTATAATATCATCTCTAGTTTAATGAGTATGATTTAATTTTGCTCCTTTTTTCAACTTCTTTCATCTAAAACACAGGTATAGAGGAAAGGATGCATCTCATCTGGGAGACAATGGTGGTGAGCTGATTTAGTTTAAATCTGCTTCAAAAAAAAATAAGCTGTTTCATTTATTCTGTATAACTTTTTAGTTATTCTCAATAAAAGATTTGGTTTTGATCTTCTGTAATATTTTTCCTTGAAATGATCTGTAATATTCCAACATCTATTGCAGGAGTCTGAAAAAATAACTGTAACAGATTATGTACGTATAACAAGTACCGAGTGGTATGATAACTCTCATAATTTGGTTGGAAGGCCAATATTAGAAATTTACTTCATGTTAATGTGGAGAATGAACATCTGTGACCATGGCATGCATTTGTTCCAACTTGCCCAAGATTTTATATAGAACTGATTAATAATTCTCTCTGCAGTGCTAAAATATTCAACATATATCCGAAAAAGGGAGCAATATTAGAAGGTTCTGATGCTGATATAATCGTACTCAATCCCAATGCAAGCTTCCGGATATCTGCTACTTCCCACCATTCGAGATCTGACACTAATGTGTATGAGGGGAAAACTGGGAAGGTAAATGTTGGCTCATGGTTTAGCAAGTAATATCAATTTTTGAAGTTCAAAATTTCTCAAAGTATGTTGGTTTGTTTCCTTTTTTTTATATGATCTGCGTGCTTTTCTCTTTGGTACTCATTTTTTATTGATACTTTTGAAGTGTTGCAGTAGTTTAGTTGGACATAAGAGCCTTTGGGTGTTTTGTATTTTTTATTTCTCTTTGAGGCTCCACATTTCTTGGATCTTATTAAGGAACTTTTGTACATGAATTGGACGCTAGCTTTACTTCCCCAAATCAATCATAGTTTAGTTTCTTACTCGTAAGGGTAATTTGATTTTCTGTTCTTTGTTATAAGGCTTTGGACATGAGACAGGGACATGACAAGCCAACTTAAACACGCTTTATTAAATAAATTCACTTGCTTAATAGAGTTTAGTGTTTCTTTATGTAGGATACACAAATTAAGAATTTATTATGGAAAAACAAAACAAACACTTGAATAATGTCAATTGCACTTTGCCTTTCACTCTGTAGAAGAAAGTATATGGAAGAAGGAAGAACCATTGCATCAGCATTTATAAAATAAAATAAAATAAAATACAACTCCTGATGTTTGAATTATCAGTATCTATTCATATGTTAGAGAATTTGGAAGAAGGAAGAACCATTGCATCAGCTTTTATAAAATAAAATAAAATACAACTTCTGATATTTGAATTATCAGTATCTATTCATATGTTAGAGAATAAGTAGTTAGTAATTATCACAGTAGTTTCTATATAAATCAATATTTTCTCCTAGAGACCTGATGATGAACCATATTATTAAAATTCTTATTTTTATTAGTCTCCCCTCCCTTCCTTCATTGGAAGAGGATACACTGGTCTTATATGACGATGACGACAACAACAAGTCTTTATCCTATTATGCACTGTTCTTGTGAGATCAAATTTTTTAAAGGGCCATTTTGGATCACTTTTATTTTTTATTTTTTTATTTTTATTTATTTATATTTTATTTTGAAATAAAACACGTTTGACAAATTTGATTATGATATGATTTTTTTATAAAAAAATACGTAAAATACCTAAAATTGTTTTGAATATTTTCAAAAACATGTTAATTTGTTTTTAGAAATCAAAAATAAAAATATATGAAAACAAACAAACAAACATGTTTTTAAGAGCAAAAGAAAAAAAGAAAATATGCCAAATAAGCCCTAGCTGTTTTGAATGCTCTGCACAAGCAAATTCTGGTATTCTAAAATCGCCCCCTCATATATTTTCAGGGCAAAGTAGAGGTGACAATTTCAGGTGGAAGAGTGGTCTGGGAAGAAGGGAATCTGAAGATAACTTCAGGCTCCGGGAAGTACATAAAAATGCCACCTTTTAGCTATCTATTTGATGGCATTGATAAGGCAGATGCTAATTATCTAGCTTCTCTTCATTCTCCGGTTCATCGAACAGCTGCAGCTTTTTGAGATCAATTTGAAGCCACCTTGGAAGGAAGTATTGAAAGAGTAGAATGCATAAAAACTTGTAGTCACAGAATTGATACTTTTTCAAAGATGGCAGACTTTTAGTTGTGATCTGTGTAGAGATCATTAATCATCAGTATATGCAGTCTTGTATAATAGTTCTCCTGTCCATATATTTATGTGAACAAAATAAAGAGTTTGGGTTTGATTTGTTGGTGAAAAAAAGTTGCAGAATTTTGCTTGAAAAATAATGTACTTGACTATAAAAATTGATTTTGTTTTCCAGTTTTGCTATATTGGTTAGTTTCAGCTAAAAAAGCAGCTTAAATTTTTGTCCCTCAGCCATTTCTATATATATATATATATCTATATATATATATATAATGATAAATACAAAAGAGAAAATAACTAATTAAAGATCTTTTTTTATTCATTTTCTTGTTATCAGAATGGAAATAAGTTGTTTGATATGTAAATACATAAGAAATGTGTGGTATGTATTTAAATGGCCCAAATTAAAATATTAAAATCCAATCCTCCACCAAATCTTCAACAAGAGTGTAGTTTCTAAGCGAATGATTAAAGCATCTTTAGAATAAGCTTTTACACATACCAAGTGGTTTACAGTATGCCCAAAAATAAGAAAATAATTCAATTGGGAGTTATGAATCCCAAAGAAAAAGAAGCTAAAAATAGAAGCTTTTAAAGGAGTTGTTCATTCAGTCCCAAATCAAATCATGAAAATTTTTGCTACATTCATCAATGAGACAAAATAAATCACATTGAATGTTCAGATTATTACCCAGCAAAATATTAATAGGAGCTATTAAGAGATTTAAGCCAAGAAGAACCTCCTGCCAACCAGACATTATTGATTGAGGGAGGAGAGGTGTCTGAAAGTACAATTTAACATGAAATTACAGGTTTGATTCAAAATTATTAAGAACATATCCAAAAGGCAAAATAATAAAGTGATGTTGAACTTCCTAAAAAATAATCGTCAAACAAATTAAGGTTGTTATAAGGCCTTCCCATGAAACTACAGAAGTGCGTTAACTCATTTGTAGGTTACAGGGAGGTTACACGGAAGTTACCCCGGATATAACCCCCCTTGTGCCCCCTGAATAACCCCTAATGTACGCAGCGCTGCGTACGTCTTATTTACGCAAATATTTTCCCTGTTTTGCACCATTTTCGTTTTATGTTTTTTATTTTCTTTTTGTTTTATTTTTTAAAACAAGTTTGATAAGCAATAATTCCACATATTTTTCTTTTTTTTGTTCTTAAGAGTAAATCACGTTACTTTATAAACTTAGGCTTGAATCTCAAGTAATATTATTTATGATCATAAATAAATTAAATAAAAAACAGATAAATTTTGTTCATTTGTTATTCCAAGTATTTAAAAAAGTGTTAAAGCCTACTTTACTGATTAACCAAACAATTATAAACTAGAATTAGTCGAGAATCATAAATACCTTGTCCAGCATACCAATTCTTCATCTGCAACATCATAAAAGAAAATAGGCAAATTTTACTTGCATGCCACACTATTCTTATGAATTTACATAATAACACCAAAAGTTAGATATTTATATTTATAGACACGCATAAAAGTTGCATTTGAATTTTGAAAGTCAGTAAAAGTGATATTTTTGATGAGATGCAAAGGATTGGAGTGCTATAAATGTAAATATAGAAGTTAAAAGTGTTACACATGTAGATGCATAGGAATTGTGGTAGGTGTAATGACCTCAAGGAAAGATTTATTTCATCAGCCCTCACCCATGAATAAAAATTGCAAACGAAAAATAAGAATAAACTGAGTAGCCAAAATCTGCACTGAAGGAAAGATTAAACAAAATCCTTCGGATTTAGCAAATCCCACCAGCAATCAACAGTAAATTTCAGACCGTGTTACACATGTAGATGCGTAAGAATTGTGGTAGGTGTAATGACCTCAAGGAAATATATAATTTTACCAATTCTTGAGATTTATTTCATCAGCCCTCAATCCTTCAGATTTACCAAATCCCACCAGCAATCAACAGTAAATTTCAGACCTTACATTAAGCATACACAATAAAGAGTGAAAACATCCATCAATCACCATCAGAAAACTTCAAGAAAATCACATTAAAGCACAAGTCAAAGCACAAACTCGCAACAAAATGCACACACGCTGGTACAAGGTAAAAGCAAATAAAGCTAACCTACAAGAGAGAAAATTCAGAAGCAGTAATCATTTGGCCATCATGATCTTGACGAACTCTTCATAGTTGATCTGGCCATCGCCATCAACATCAGCCTCACGAATCATTTCGTCGACCTCTTCGTCGGTCAGCTTTTCGCCAAGGTTGGTCATGACGTGGCGAAGCTCGGCGGCTGAGATGAAGCCATTCTGATCCTTGTCGAACACCCGGAAGGCTTCCTTGAGCTCCTCCTCAGAGTCGGTGTCCTTCATCTTGCGAGCCATCAGGTTGAGGAATTCTGGGAAATCAATGGTTCCGTTGCCGTCGGCATCGACCTCATTGATCATGTCCTGTAGCTCCGCCTCTGTTGGGTTTTGACCAAGAGATCTCATCACCGTTCCGAGCTCCTTGGTGGTAATGCAACCTGAATAAATCTGCTGTGAGCTATGCTGGGCATCAAAGTTCTTAAAATGTAAAGCTGCAATGCATTATCAAATAAGGATTGAAAAAAGAAAATTTTAAGCTGGGGAAATCCTGAAAAAAAATATATATATATCCGCCCGGAAACAAAATGTTTCACAAGACCAGTTAACTTGGCCTGCTTAATTGTTTATCTTCATCTGAAAAAAATTAGGTTGGGATATTAGGATGGAAGTCATTAAATTTACTTTGAGATGAATATAATACATAATTAATCAAATTTTATGCTGTAATAATCTTAAAACAAATCTAATGGATTTGAATCCCCACAAAAATTTTTCTCGGCATTTTTTTTTCCATTTTTACCTCTTTTGCAAAGAAACTAAAAATAACAATGATCAGCCTGAACTACAGAATCAGAAAAACATGCAAGACTTGGGAAGTCCATAGCAGGACCATCTAAAAGTGGGGTCAAACATTCTTTTAGTTATAGAAAATCTGAGAGACTAGAAGAAGAGTGCTGCAAAGCTCTCTATTACACGAGGTGCTTTCTAGACGCATCAATTATGCAAATTTTATATTGCAATGATCTGAAAGCATTCTTTAATTTATGGTGTTCACCGTAAATGAATGTCGATTTCCTGTAAGATGAGTCGTATATAGAATTTAAACACAATGATTCCACGGCTAAAGTTGTCCTTGGTAAATAAGTAGTCCAAAGTGCATTGTAATTTTGATCCATCAAAGTGGTTGTCTAAGACTTTAAAAGTGAATATTGAGGATTTATGCATCCGTTGACTCCGTTCATGGCAAAGGGCACGTCTAACCTCATGATGGTAAGGTACGGTATTGAGATGATGTGGTGCTGTTAAAAGTCTGTGATGCGGGTGTGGAGCAGGTGCGGAAGACTCCCGTGCGAGCTGGAGAGGTGGACCGGCCCAACTGGATTGGGGACCGGTCCAAAATGAACCCGGGCCGAGCGGCCTAGGGCTTGGGTTTTAGTGAGGCGAGTGGCCACTTGCGCCACTCTCCTTCCTTTTTTGTGTGCCGCTTGATCGAGCAGCATATTGGGAAGGGCGGCATTGCCGCCAATCCCTTTCCCCTCCGTCCTTTTTTGTGATTTTCTTATGGGAGCTTTTTCTGTTTTCCTCTGTGAGTTTTTAAATTGGCATTTATCCTACTTCGATGTGATGATTGTATCTCCCCTTTTATCTTCCCTACTCCCGTCTCCTCCACTTCCCTTAGCTGCCATCTATCCCCAACCGCTTCACCCCTGCGCTGCCGACCCCATTTCTGCCGCAATAACTTGCGGTCCAGCTCTTTCCCCTCCCCTTTTCCAAGCAGCCAGCCGTCCCAACTGATGTCCCGTTGCTCCCAGTAGCTACCCCACCTTACCACCACCCTTGGGATACACTCTCAAGGTGTCTGTTTGTGTCGTTTATGTTTTGGTGATGTTATTTCCAGTTATGTGTGTTGTAACCCTATTTTCCTATTAATAAAAGTTGATTTTTGTGATTTGGTCTTTATCCTCCCATATCATTTGGTATCAGAGCTAGTCCAACCATAGTCTCATCTTAGTTACCTAAGCATCCGCCACCACCCAAACCACCCCCACAAAAATTGTTCTTTCCTATTCCCAACCATAGCCAAAAATCTTGACCTAATCATCGATTCCTCTTGCTGATTTTCAAAATCAGCAACTCTAAATTAAATTTTTTAGCCCACTCCCACCTCCCAACTCTACACCATAGTCATGCCACTAATGAGATACATGCCCAAGCCTTTCAGAGGGGAGAAACAGTGAGAGATCTGCCAACTTCAGCCAAAGCTTGCAGACTTCGAGGATGAAATTCAATGGAAGGCTATCCTCTATCATGTTTTGAAAGGTCGTATGAGGGAACGAGAAGATATGAGAAACACGACGCCAGTTCCTACGAGAAACACGAGAAGATATGAGAAACACGACGCCAGTTCCTACCAACTTCCTATCGCCAGAAGTTGCAGACTCTAGCTTCCGAAGGAACCCCTTGCTACTATCCAACAAAACCAATCCACAGTATTTCACAGCCAGAAAGTTGTTCAAGTGCCATAGATTTATATAGGTTGAAGCAGTATGCACAACTAGAGTAGTGTTTTACTTCACCAATCAGGGCATCATCGAAAAGTTACGTAAAGACACCGCAGACCAGCTTCCAGTTGAAGAGTTGAACGGTGATCGGAAAGAAGATACAGACTTCAGATGATTCTTAACTTTCAGCCAACGAGAAAGAGACACAACCACCTCCAGTGGACCCCGAGATAAAAATTACAGTTGAGGTAACTGTAGCCACTCTGAAAGGTAGTAACATCAATGTAATGAGCATTCAAGCAGAGTATGAAATTGTGGTACCTCAAGATACCGCTTCACAGGCGTTGAGAGGAGTTGCAACGGGGTTGACCTTAGCGGTCCAAAAGAATTGCAAGCTTGAGGAGACGACATCATATAAAGGGCACCACAGATAAGAGACACAACTTTGACCGCTTCTTGAGCTATCCCAATGGGAGGAGATTCAACATGTACGAAGAGGAAACGTTGAGTGTCATGTCTGGAATATCACATGAAGTGATTCAAAGGTTATTTTCTGTTTCGCATGGTACCCATCGTCAAATATCCAGACAGGAGAGATAAACTTTAGCTTGGTAAAAGGCACGAAGAGCTTGATAAGGAAGAGAATTTTGTAGTGGGATCTAGCTTCTATCAGTGAAGAAGAGTTTTCTCCTAAGTGGGAGCTAGGGAGAGTGACCCCGCCTGGCACAGATTTCACCCCATATTTGCCTTCTCCTCACATACTAGTTCATCAGATGTACTTCACTTACTATAAGGAGTGGGAGAAGTTGGTTACAATTGAGATGACTCGATACATGCTTCGTGAGAATATCCGTCTATCTATAGTTACCGCTCAAAGCATGCCAAAGGTGGATGGATACCTATTTTACCAGAATGTGCTTTGGAACGACAATGTCTATTGGATCGACCGACTAGGACTACAATAGACAATCCGTCTGTCCCAAAAGATTACAATAGCTTTCTCGCCGTCCATGTGTCGACAGAAGCTTCTACAAATGAGGTTGAAGTTCCCCCAACCATAAGAAAATGATGTGGGTGCGAAGAGCTCCCGTGCGAGCGGGGAGCGGGCGTAGAAGACTCCAACGCGAGCGGGAGAGGTGGACTGGCCAACTAGTCCAATTGGGGACCAATCCAGGATGAACCCAGGCCAAGCGGCCAAGGGCGAGCAACCACTTGCACCACTCTCCTCCCTTTTCTGTGTGCCGCTTGATTGAGCGGCATACAAGGAAGAGCCCAATCTCTTACCCCTCCTTCCTTTTATGTGATTTCCTTATGGGAGCTTTGTTTTTCTATTTTCCTCTGTGAGAGTCTTTGAATTGGTGTTTTCTGGATTTGGGTTTAATTTTTGTTGTGAGTTGATTTCAGATTCCCTATGTGGAATCCTTTTCTCTGTTCTAGGGTTGTATCCAAAGAGATGGTGGCGCTCCGGTTGTATCCTCCTCTGAGATGGTGATTGTATCTCCCCTTTTATCTTTCCCTGCTCCGTCTCCTCCACTTCCCTTAGTGTCGGCTATCCCCAACTGCTTCCCCTGTGTCGTCGACCCTGTTTCTACTGCAATAACTTATTGTACAGCTCTTTCCCCTCCACTAGCAGCCAGCCGTCCCACCTGTTGTCACGCTGCTCTCAGCCGCTACCCCACCTTCCCACCAATCTCCACCGCCCTCGGGATACACACTCAAGGTGTTTGTTTGTGTCGTTTGTGTTTTGGTGATGTTATTTACAGTTTATGTGTGTTGTAACTATCTTTTCCTATTAATAAAAGTTGATTTTTTTTGGTTTGGTCTTTCTCCTCCGGTATCAGTCTAAGTTGGCATATTTGAAATTTGAGTGCTAAAAGAGTGGTGTCTTTGCTACAAGTAAGCTTTTGATTGGCTTACAATTATACGAAAGCGAAGAAGTCAACTCAAGGGCATTTGGTTGTTTAAGATGATGATGAGTGGGGATGGAAGACAACAGTGCCAAACATTCTAGAAATTGTGGTACACAGCCACGATTATATGTTGCAAGTGTTGGTGGAAGTGGAGTAAATCTGGGTTGATAGTTGGATTGTTAGCTGTAAGGAGCACCTCATCAGCATAAAATAGAATGTAAACGAGTGTATTGTTGTGATTATAAAGAGAGAGATCTATAATGTTCGAGGTGAAGACTAGCAGTACCATGAGGCTAAAAAATATAGCAAACCATTGACATGGTGCTTGTTTGAGGCTATATAATTTTTGGAGAAGGCACACACAATGCATGTGTTGTAGATCTTTCAATTCATGTGGTTGAAAAAATTGGCAAGTGTATGAAGGCACCGAATACATCAGGGTAATACGCCAGTGGTGATGAAAAACCACCATAATAAGAATCCAAATGGTGGCATTTTAGCAATTGTACTGAATATTTTGATATATGTGATATCATGTTAGTCGTGCATTGTGTCTTGATATAGTCTCAACTCGATTGACTTTGATTTTGTATGTCCATTTGTTGCCTAAAATACTGTGATTAGAAGGCCGATGAGTAAGGGTGTAAGTTGCCTGAGATTGTAGCGCCTAACTCTTTGGACATGGCTTTCCATTGTAGAATACAGAAGGCAGGATGAAATGGAGAGAAGTAGATAGCAGCAGTGGCTTAACAGAGAAAAATCAGAAAACAGATATTTGGAAGAATAAATGTATTCAATTGTATAACCGCTTCCTAAAAACTACAGCAAGCCGTAACCTATGAGTGATATGGTATATATGGGCGATGAGAGGACAAAAGGGTTTGTTGTAGTTTGTTATTACAGAAGAAAGTTTGTTACAGAAAAGGATGTGCTGGAGAACCGCTGTTTAACTGCTGGAATTTGTAATTCTGTTATCATCCATCACTTGGCAACTTTGACGGCTATAGAGTAGCAAGTTGGATAAGAAATTGGAGGTGGAAATG